CACCCCCCCCCCCCCTTCCCAATCCAACCAAAAAGGAATAAAGAAAAAAGACACTTTTTTTGAGGAACTGTTAACTAGAAAAATGTTTAAACTTAAAGCAGGGAAAATCACAGGATTCTCTACTTTTCCCTGGTTATCAAACAGGGCCTCGGTGTTATAATGCAGAATCTTATCTTGTGTTCACGAGTACATGTGCTGTTTGGCATTCTAGCTTAGTCGTGGGGTACGTGTCCTTTTTTTCCAGGAACTTGCCAATGCAGGGAGCACTAAAAGGCCCACATGCTGTGTATTGGTACTAACCAAGCCTCCAAAAGGGGAGATGAACCACGAAGATCAGGAAAAGTTGCAGGCAGATTATAACCAAGTAGTAAAAGATGTGAATGAGTTGACATCATCTCTCTTCTAAGGAGCACACCCTCTCTCTCTCTCTCACACACACACATACACACTCTCTCTCTCCAACACTTCTTTATTGTCATGTTACAAAGGATTTTGAACCGGCTCTCCCCAACTTTTATGGAATATACAATATTGTCCAGTGTGATAGATCGGTGTTATTCCCAACTATTTTATGTTGAACCTCTATAGCATAGGCTTTCTTGTGATGGTTATTACTTTATGCCCCAAATCAATGGATTTTGTTTGGCCCTTTCTTCTGTTTTGTTCACCTTTTGAGTTTGGGGATGAATTTGTACCACTGCTTTTGCTTCAAATTTTCTATGGTGTATCTAGTGCTGCTGTTTATTGAGAAAGCTTCCTATATAGGCATAGGGAATTTATATTTGCCACTCTCTTCGAGCCGTCCAATCTAAGTCGGTGGTTGGGATCTCTTCAGATATAACGTGAGAAGCGATTATTTACCGTTTGATTTAGATCTAATGTTTTAGAGTATCTTATTGTTAATTTTTTGTACAAATTTAATGAACATAAAATCTGCTGCGTGCGATCATCTCAATGGGGTGTACCTGAAAAAAAATTAGAAAAATATTTCCATGAAAATAAAATGACCAAACTGCCCTGACATTTTGTGGGGGGCATTTTAGTCAATTTATTTTTTAAAAAAATATTTTTAAATTTTTTTGGTAAGCTAGCCTGTGAGAGGATTGGATGTCG